GCTTGTATGGGTGTGTGCACATACATGTGCCTGCCTGCTCTTAGGCTCTTGATTTTTGTAGACTGGAGCCAAAAGGTGGAGGGAGAGGAAATTAGGGGCATTATACTTACATATCCAGAACATCACCTGAGAGAATCATAAGGCAACGTAAAATTAACTTATTACTGGTATGTCAGTTTCCCATGACCAAAATCACAAATAGTAAGCCAAATGAGTCATTTGTTTGCATAATTGTGAATACACTAATCTCTCACATTTCTCTATATCTTTCTCAACTCATACCTCTATTATATTATTCTTCCTTTGTGCTCACTTTGATCTTGCTATTCCTGGAATGTAAAATATCTAAGGAATTACAGTACATATCCAAGTTCTCCTTTAGTCTACTAACGAACTATTAGTTCTTCATACTGTGTATCTAAATTTATCTTCCATATTACAGACCCCTTTGAGCATACTAGAAAAAAAAGAGTAAATAATACTAACCTGGTGCAGATACTCCATGGGTTTGGGTTTGGACTTGCTCTATAGCTTGTGGCCTGATTTCAGATAAAGCTTGGTGAGTAGAAGTTGGATGTTCGACAAGTTTTACTGCAGCTAGTGCATCAGGGCCAAACATCTGAATATCCATAGAAACCAGACATACAAGCATATCTGAAATAGATGTAACATCAATAGTTCTTAGTCAGTGATATTAGAAAACAACGTCTTCTCCAGAGAAAACATGTTAAGAATACTATTTCTCGATGTCAGTCCTTGAGTCATTGTATATCAAAATTAGCTGTGCATTTTAACAACAACAAAAAAAAAAATCTGAAGACTGATTTAGTAACCCTGAAGTAAGGACACCGTGCCTGTATCTTTAAAAAAGTTTCCCAAGTGATTCTGATGTGTAGCCAGAATTACTGATATGGAAACTGCCATCTTAATTTCTCAATAATGACAGTTTTCAAGCTATATCTTTATTAGTTCTGATTTGAGTATTTATCCCAAGATAGGCATCATTTTAATCCCTGTTAACATGGCATGCTTTAGTAAGATTGTTTGAAACTGACAAGCTTTAGAAAGGTGAATTCACTAACTTTTGACAGTACCACCACCAGTAACTTCTAGGAGCAAAAAGAAGCCTGATTCACTCAGCTTTAATTGTTTAACACATTCTCACCAGCTTGAACCACTGTGGTATACTCTTAACTGTCCCACTGGGCTGTTGTAGCACCTGACGGGACAGTCCCATGCTACCAGATGGAGCTGTCATGCATGTACCACTGGTGTGGTTCAGAGCTGCCCAGCAGTGACACATATGAATTATGGTCCCACTGTGAAAAAGTTCATAGTAGTACTTGACCAGCTGATACGGAAAGACCTACTCTCAACAAGTCAAACATAGAAGTTTTGTTGATTTAAAAATGGATACATAACAAAAGGCAGATGGAATAGGAATTCCTGATAGCCATATTATCTAGTTTCTATAAGAGAGATGTTTCTTGCTCATCTGAAACAAGTAGAAAGAATAATGCTACTAAGTATGTCTGAAAGGGTGATAACTCCTAAAAATAAAATAGTAAATCTCAAATATCAATTAAATTTTTGTTTTGTTTTGTTTTTGAGACAGGGTCTCATTATGTAACTCAGGCTGGCCATGCACTTACTGCATTCATTATGTTGAACAGGCTGGTCTTGAAGTCACAGTGATCCTCCTACCTCAGCCTCCTGAGTACTGGCTCAACAGGTATGTTCCCCTGTGCCTGTCAAAAGTTTTTTTTTTTTTTTTTTGGTATCAGGGATCGAACTTGGGACCTTGTGCATGCAAGGTATGCGGCAGAACCACTGAGCTAAATAAATCCCTGGCCCTGGCAAAAGTTTTTATATAACACCATATGAGATATTTTTCTCCATAGAGAAAATAATTTAAAAGAGTTTTGGTCCAGTCTTACCGATACTCTTTTCTACTTTTGCAATTTTTGTGCAAGCAACATCTCCCATTTCAGTAAGCATGTATAGCACCTCGAGTGTTGAGATTACAAGCAGCACGTCAGGTAAGGTGAGATGACAAATGATCTCTCTATATGAATCTTGATCCACATATTCACAAATTAAAACACCATTGTCTTCGGCTTTACAAAGATTTCCCAAAATTTCCATGCCTGAAAAACATATACACACAAAGTTTATTTATTTACTTTGTTTTCTTTTAGTACTAGGGATTGAACCTACAGCCTTCATACTGAGCTACATCTCCAGCTTTTTTGGGGGGTGGTACTAGGGATCGAACTGGGTCCTTGTGCTCGTGAGGCAGGCAGCGGAACCACTGAGCTAAATCCCTGTCCCAGCTCTTTTTAATTTTGGAAGAAAGTCTCACTAAGTTGCCCAGGCAAGGTTTGAACTCTCAGACTTGGAATTACAGACCTGCATCACTACGCCCAATTATACACAATTTTTTTAAACAAATGATAATCTTTGTTCACTTCAGACAGTAAAAACCTTAAATGAACACTCACCCCTCATCTTTAAAAATCTATCCCTTGACATTAGGCATTTTGTAACAGTATGAAACATCAGATGTGTAGTTTTGAAATCAACAGGGTCCAATAAAAGCTAGAAGGAAAGAACACTATTATTGAGATTTGCTTCTTCCACAGTTGTATTTTTCAAGTTTAATACAAGTGAACATGACTACACTGTTACTTTAAAAATGTAATTATTATAAGAGGAATCATCACTAAATTTGAAGCATCATTCAAGTTTTCCTTGGTTTACACAGAAGTATGTGACACTTCCACACTACTTTTAACAAAAAACATATGTAACCATTTAATATTCTGCAAATATGGGCAAGTATAAAATGATATAGCCTAAATTTTTGAAGTAAACATGGCTAACTATAAAATCTACTTTACAGTATTGTTACATGCTTACCTCGGCTGCAATATTTCCTAATGTATCAAGGCCTAATTGCCTTAAAGAAATAAAATGACTATGTGCTGAAAGTAATAGGAAACGAAGACAGGTACGATTAGCTGCCAACAGCTTAACATTGCCCTCCTCAAAGGAAAGATTTCGCAAAATCACTGCAATTTGAAGTACCCGCTGTCCTTCAATATCATTAATGCCCAGCTTTCGAGGTGGATGAAATAAAGACTCCCAAATCCATTCTCCTGATGTACCTTCTATAACAGAAAACACACATTTCACTTAAATTGATATTTCACTTATCATTGCTATTTCAAAATTATGATATTTTACTTTCATTGACTTACCATGAGACTTGTTTCTGTCAGATATGAGGTCACGCACTTCATTATCATCAACAATGTCTTTCCAAAACTGAAAAGATAGTAAAATATTAAAACTATTCTACTACTTTAAAAAGTCACACATAATATAAAACTGTACTATTTCCACTTTTTATAGGTCACAATGATATCATTATATTCTTTGATATAAATGTTTGATTTCCCATAGTTCAAGACTCATATAGGATAACACTATGTTTTTTAAGACTGGAGGTTCTTAACCTGGGGGTCAGAGGAACCTATAAGGTCCTTGAAATACATTACAACATCTGTGAATTTAAGTGAAGAGAAAAATGATATCTATTTGCTCATTAAATCGAGCATTTCCTGAACTCTGAATGCTAGGCAAAAAACAACAGTTACATTAGCAGTACCTGTGACATATCATGAGAATGAATCACAGATTACTTTCATAGCTATTGAAAACAGCAATACTGTCTATGCAGATTGGTATGTAAAAAGTATTAAAAGTATTATTAAACTCATCTGTAAATTTCATATAGTCACAGTTATTTATATTTATAAACACCACTGAAACATAATGATTTGGGAAGTTCTGGATGCCAAATTAGTAACCCAGATTGTTAAATTGTTTCCACTTTTCCAAATCTATAAACAGTTTTTGATTCGTAAGTGAGAAGAAATGAGTCTAAACCACTCAACTGTTTCATAACCCTTCCAAAGTTAAAAAATCAAATGTTTTTACATTTACATATCCTACACAAAATGCTTATGACACTTGACAATAACTTATGTACTAATAAAGCACAAGTTATTACTTGACTTATTTCTAAACATTACTGTATTTATATTCCAAAATAATTTTAGGGATCTATATTCTTTTGCATCTAGTTCATTAGTTTGAGAAGAGATTCATAGGCTTCACGAGACTACCAAAGGTACCCACTGCGCACCTGCGCAAACACACACACACACACACACACACACACACACACACACACAGAAACCTATTACAAATGTCTGGTTAAAATAACAATTAACTAGGCCTATGAAAAGAAGGTCAACATTCAATAGCCAAGAAGAAAGGGCCAGGGGCTGGGGATTTAGCTCAGTGGCAGCACACATGCCTTGCAAGCACAAGGTCCTGAGTTCAATCTTCAGTAACACACACAAACACACACACACACACACACACAGAAAGGAAAGGAATAGAAAAAGGAAAAAGAGAGGAGAGGAGAGGAAAGGAGAAAAGGCAGGAAGGAAGAAAGAAAGAAAGAAAAGAAAAGGCCATAGGGAAGTCAAATAACAAAGACAGCAGATAGGGAACTTAAAATGACCATGGATAATAAAGTTCAAAAAAATAAATGATGAAAAATGTTGGCAAAGAATTGGAAACTAAAAATATAACTGAATAACTTGAAGATTAAAGAGGCAATATAAACACCAAGAAAAAAATCATAAATGCAGAGACAGAAAGGACAGAGAATCTTGAAAAGGGCTGACAAATAAGATGATGGCAAACTTCGTAATAGGAGGAATGACAGCCAGAATACACTTGGATATTTTCAAAGTGAGAGAAAGAAAATATCTACCAAGCTACAATTTTTATATAATTTAATGGTAATAAAGGTGACATCCAGGCCACTTGCCTTACATGTGCAAGAACCAGAGTTCGATCTCCAGTACCAAAACAAATAAATAAGAATAAAGGTGACATAAAGACATTTTCTGCCAAACGTGGTGGCACATGCCTGTAATCCCAGCACTTGGGAGGCTGAAGCAGGAGGATTGCTGTGAGTTCAATACGAGCCTGGGCTACATAGTTAGCTCCAGGTCAGTCTCTACTACACAGTGAGACCCTGTCTCAAAAAACAAACAAAAAAAGACAAAATAAAACAAAACATTTTCTGACAAATGAAAACCTGAGAAAATTCATTACCTGCAAATCTGAATTCAAAAGACACGAAAAAGGAAAACACGACTGTATCAAAAAAGAAAAACATTTTAAAGAGACCCATTTAGACCATAATGGAGTAAGTGGTACCAGTGCACTCCATCTACCATAAACCAATATATATAGAAAAAAAGTGTTTTCAAAGATCAGACAAAAGGTAGTATAATCACTGAAACAGTCGGAACACAAATGAGGTGAGCATGATGAGTGGCTCCGCATTTCTATTTGCATATTACTCTTAGACTAACTTATAAAAGAAACACAAAAGAACACAGCAAATGCTAACCTGAGGAAGACTGATCAGAGGTCACCAAAACTAACACAGAACATGACAGCAATTTTCTTGCCATAGCATAGCATAGCACAGCACAGCACAGCGTACTGCAGCATACCACAGGAAGGGCTCTGCAGAGAATAACTCATGCATATAAAGGAGGATGCATTGAGTGCACTGCTGAGTGCTAAGCTATACATATGTAGTCACATTCCACAATGCCAGGCAAAAAACTGGAGAACAGGGTTAGGGATTTAGCTCAGTGGTTCTACCACCTGTCTCACAAGCACAAGGTCCCAAGTTCGATCCCCAGTACAAAACAAACAACCTGGAGAACAAATACTAAGGAAATAAAACGGAACAGTTCCCACAATAGAGAAAATACATATGCCCAACTTATTTAATAGAGATACGAAAATGTAACACCTCAGAATCAAGGATCAAATAGTCCTGGAGTAGTGATGGTGAACCTTTTAGAGCTTTCAATAATAACAAACAGCTAGCTATGACACGTGTGCCATAAGTTCACCACCACTATCCTAGAGCAAAAACTAAACCGCGAATGCTTTATATCATGAATGTCCTCTAAAGGCCCTTGTTAAAGGCTTGGCCCATGGTGAAATAGCTGGGAGGGGTGGAACTTTTTGAAGGTGGGGCCAAGTGAGAGGTATGTAGGTCACTGGAGGCCTGTGCCCAGAGGATACTGCAGGACCCTAGTCCCTCCTCCTTCTCTTTCTGCTTTATGCTCCAGAGGAAGTGGATTTGTCCTACTGTATATTTCTGAACCATGTGTTGCCTTATGATCAGCCCAAAGCAACAGAGCCCCATAGTTCTGGATTAGAGCTTCTCAAACTGTGAACTGAAACAAATTTTTCTTTTGTATAATGAATCATCCCAGGTATTTTGTTACAGTGGCAGAGAGCTAACACAGCATGTCATAACACAAATAAAACCAACCCTATTATGAGAACCCATAAGTCAACTAATAGCCTACTAAAACAAAGTTCAAGAATCTTAGAAAGCCACCAGTGCCCAGATAATCATCAATATCATATTTACAATATCCAAATCTAATAAACTTAGCAGACACATGAAACAAGAAAAATGACCTACAACTAAGATAAGTATTAATTACAACAAAAATAGAACTCAAAACACAGGCAACAGAAAATGGACAAGGATTTAAAAAAAGAACTATTATAAAACTACTATTAAACATGTTTAAAGGATTAAGTCCTTAAAGATTTAAGGAAACATGAACATAATCAGGAAAGACATGGACAATATAAAAGTGAACCAAATGGGATTTTTGAGATAAAAAATGTAAACTGAAATGAAATTCACAAAATTTGCATAACTACTGATTAAAGCATAACTAAGAAACTGTCCACAATGAAGCACACAGCAAAAAGTTAAATAATGCAGAGACTGACAGTGACCTGTGGGAAAATACTGTGGATTAATATATGATGTAGTCTCAGAATAATATAATAATGAAAAATCTTTGAGGAATAATTATAACATTTTTCAAGTTTCATGTAAAACACTACACTGTGGATTCCCAAAGCTAAATGAAACCCAAGTAAGATAGACAATAAATATAACAAGGTATATCATTATCAAAATTAAATATGAGTAGTAAGGAGAACATCTTAACAGCAGAGAGACTATCACACACAGCAGAATGAAGCTGACTTCTTATCAATACAGTATAAACCAAAATGACACAAATCTCATGTTTAAAGAGTTCAGACAAAAACCTAAAACCTACAATGCTATACTCATGAAATAAAATTTTAGGAATATGAATGCTGCTCTACCACATCATCAATTTCATAAAATATAAATGGTCTTAACACAATGATTTAAAGGCAGAAAATGCATTCTGAGGAGGAAAGCAAGAGCAAACTATATATACCATCCACAAGAAACACTACATGTGAAAACTGGAAAAAAATAATTCAATTATAAGAAAGCTGGATGTGGTGCCATGTGCCTGGTAATGCCAACTACCTGAGGATGCCACAGCAGGGAGATCTCAGGTTTGAGGACACCCTGGATAATTGAGCAAGACTGTCTCAGATAAAATGTAAAAAGTGCTGAGGATGTAGCTCTATGGCTAGACCACTGGCCTAGCATGCATGAGGCCCTGAGTTCAATAGGCAGGAAAGAAAAGAAAGAAAAGAAAGAAAAGAAAGAAAAGAAAGAAAAGAAAGAAAGAAAGAAAGAAAGAAAGAAAGAAAGAAAGAAAGAAAGAAAAAAGAAAGAAAAAGAAAGAAAGAAAGAAAGAAAGAAAGAAAGAAAGAAAAGGGGGTATATGGTATAGGCAAATTAATATTCTAAGTAGAAATCAGGGCAAAGGATATTGCCAGAAATCAAGGGGAATAATTCATATAGATTAAAAACAGAAAAATATAATAAACCTAAATTAACAGAAGTGCCACTACACAAAGCAAAAGCTGACAGAACTGAAAAAGGACAAACATCATTCATAATCACAGCTGATTTCAAAAGTTCATCTCAGTAAGTCACAGAACAATTAGAAAAGCAGTGTTAATACACAAGTTTTGCCTCTCCTAACCACCTCGACTATCCAACAATAGTAGAGCGCACACACACTTTTAAAATGCACATGTAGTGCCCACCAAAAAACAAATAAAAAACTATATGCAAGAGCATAAAACAAGTCTTGCTAAGTTTAAAAGGTCTAAAATTATATAGAATAGGGCTGAGGGTGTAGCCTCAGTGGCACAATGCCTTGCTGGCAAAAGCCAACGTCATGAGTTCAATTTCTGGTACAAAACTATAATTTCTCAATCATAATGGGATTTGGAAATCAATG